TTTTAATTCAGTCCCATATGCTTTGGATGGTTAGTTAGTTAGGTTAGCTGGCTAACAAAGCTGGGCCTGTTTGGCCCCCTCGTATATTACAGTATATCAGCAGAAGCACCTCATACCAACTGTCAGGCATGGTGGTGGAGGTGTGATGATCTGGGCTCATGTTGAGGCCACCAGACCTGGACACCTTCTAAATCAACCATGAACTCCTTTGTATCGTAAAGTGAGAGTGAAAGATGATTCCCTTCATCCCTCTTTGTTGGTTAGTTGTATGTTTGTGCACATTATCAGATAGGCAACAATCTGTCAAATACACAACTGAGGCAGCAACCACAACAAACCTAAAGTGAGAGTGTGAGAGAGCTTTAGGTCCAGGATATCGGGCAGCATTTATAATAATAGCACACTACTTTACGCATTATTAATTAACTCAATTACTTTTCATATAACAAAAATCATGGCGTGCCTCTGCTCATCCAGTCATTATGGATCAGGAAGTTCAAGAGAAATTAAAGGGAAGACAAAGGATCTAATATCAGTGATCTGTCTAAAGCATGCTGGGTGCACCGTCGTCAGTACTCTCGGTGAAGTGTCGACGCAGGAAGGGAAGTAGATGCGTCCCAGCTGACACAATAGAACAGAACTGCCCACCTTGTTTGGGACACTGAGAGACACGGTCCATATTTCATAAATGCTTCAAAAGCAGGGAAAGAAGAATTCAACAGTAAGAAACATTAACACCACCATCCATATGAACCTTGCTATTTGGAGCTTAAGTCAGCTCTTTTCACTTCCCTATAGTCAGGATGACTGCAGCCAGCTGATTCTAACTCCACATCCCTGATAGGCTGTTTGGGCCGAGAGCAGTTTGTGCAAACTTTGGTGAAAAAAAAAATAGAGTTCATTGAACTGTAGTAGCTGTCTGCTTTTGCCTGGAGGAAAGTCATGAAGTGTGTAAACTTAGACTGGGTCTTATGATTACTAACACAGCAGTTTGTCACTGTGCAAACATACTGAGTCTCCTTCACAGTGCCCTCCTGCTGCTGCTGTTCCTGCTCCTCACTAACAATGATCACAACACCATTACTGACTTGAGGCTGTACTTGACACAGTTTGCTCTGGAAACCACGGTGAAGCTCTATAGATGGCTTAAAGAACTGTTTTTTGTAATATTAAAAAAAAGCTCAGACAACGAGGAGACGGAGGTGTCGTTTGGTCTTGCTTCCCGTGAGCTAGCCAGGGAGCACAGCCGTTTATTGACATCTGCAGAAGAACACTGCCGCTAGCTAACTGCTCAGCGCGGCAACCGCACAGCAACAACAACAACAACACACAGGGCGCCCTCTGACCCCGGAAGGACACACCGTCGCAGCGAGAGGGCGTCACCCGTCACTATGGCAACATAAACAAAACATAACTGTACAAACAGAACCCCGAACAGCCCTGACCCGCTACAATATGCTGCTGAGAATATAGCCCAGAAGAAGCGTATAGTATAGCTTTTATTTTGGAAAGAGCCATTTCTCTGTAATAAACTCTCTTTTCCAAAGATGAGTGATTCCTCAATCAGATACAGGGCTTGCAAAATCGCTAGCCCGACGTCCCGGGGCTAGCGATTTTTCCAGTCGGGCTACCAAAATCTATCTCTGCCCTGCCCGTCGGGCTATTCGTAGGAAGGAAAAATATATGTCAATGCTTTTGCATTCTTTCAGAAATGTAGCTGGGTAATTATGTCATTGGCATCGGTGAGCCACTGTCAATATGTGACATATTGAAATCGCGTTTGAATTTGCGCTTGTTTTTTTGCTTTCACTTTGCAATCGTGCGAACTGTGTATAGAGAGCGACAGCACTGATCTGTGAGTGATGATAATTTGTGCACCAATTCCTCTGACATCGTCTTATTAATCGTTAGCTTACTATGCAAACATGACAAGTGAAATCTCCCGCAGCTTAAACATGTGAGAGGTTGATCGCGCAGAGAATCGCTGAGCTTATGTGAGTCCGTGTGTAAAAGCAGCAGGATATATATTTTAGTTCTGCTGAGCCAAATAAGACAGGTCAGGGTGAAGAAGTGACAGCCAAAGAAAAGCTTACCACAAAACGGAAAAGTTATGACAAATCAGACTATAAGGCAAAAAGAAAGTGCAGCTTTATGGTTTCATGGACAAAAGAATTTCTGTGGCTGCAATATGACGAGCTATATAACCGGGGCTGCACATAAGTGGTCCGCAGGTGCGCATTCGCTGTCAAAAAAAAAACGCGCACAAGATATGAAGTTGCAACGCGTGTTTGCATACATAAGATTTTCTGGAGGAGGACAGACATTTGTTTAGAACTCTTAAAGATGTCGAAGAAGCTCCTTTAAGCAATTACTTTGGTGTTCCTCCACCTCCAAACAAATGTCAGAAGGAGTCCGAACCACAAAAGAAGCGCGTATTCTCGGAAAAGTGGTTGCAGGAGGTGAGCTGGCTTCAAACAAATGATGAACGCACAGAGATGTGGTGCAGAATGTGCCGTGAAAATCCCACTCTAGCGGACAAAAACAGCTTTTTATATGGACGCAAACGCGCGTTGCAACTTCTTATCTGGTGCGCGTCTTTTATTTTGACAGCGAATGCGCACATGCGGACCACTTATGTGCACCCGTGTAAATAACATAATGTTCTGCCGGGTGTGTTGTTGGTTTTCTCTCGATTTCTGAGTCGACAAGCGCCTTTGTTACTGGGACCAGTCATTTTAAGAAAGGCCCCCATTAGAACCCATGAGAAATGCAAGAAATGCATTATTGCTCAGTCTGCAATATCTTTCCCAGAACAAACACCAATTGCAAATAACATACTAAAAATAAACCTGAAAAATCTGTTTAGAACAGCTACTATGTTGCAAAGAGTGAACTACCACTGGCAAAATTTAGCAGTCTTTGCAAACTTCAAAAAGCAAATGGCCTCGATCTTGGTTCCACTTGTCTCTTACCCGTGACTTCAGTGGAAATTTCAAATTCAGGATCTGACACAGACTGATCCATGTCCTACACAGTTCTTACAAGTTCATAGAAATTTCTGTTCAATTAGAACCAAGTATTTGAGTTGATGATTGTAATTTTTATACAATGTTGTAATTTGTGTTTCAACAATTTTTTGATTAATGTTTTGTTTCCTTTACAATATTATACTTTAATGTATAATATTGTAAAGAAACAAAACATCAATCAAAAAATTGCTCTCTTTTTTTATTCGGGCTACTTAAATTTATTTTGGGCTACCAAAAACTGAAGAGTCCCTGCCCGAAGGGCTACCAGGGATTTTGAAATTTTGCGAGCCCTGAGATATATTTTTTTTTAATTACTTTTGTTTCAGCAACATTCAATTTAAAAACTGTACTTTTGAGTTAAAATATATATTTATAATTTTAATAAATGACAAATTAAAAAGGCATGAACATTTTTTTTGTATCGAAAAAATATCGAACCGTGACACCAAAGTATCGAACCGAACCGTGAATTTTGTGTATCGTTGCACCCCTAATATACACCCAAAGTTTTTCCACAGAGTCTTATGTTTTCACTGTATGCAGACCAATGCCTGGAAAGAAAATCAGCACCGCCAAGTCTTTGGCCACGGTCCTCAGACGGAGAAGGTTGTAGTGGCCACTCTGGGTCAGGGACAAGATGGGATGAAGAGCTCAGTCATTCAAGAGCTGAATATCCCACCGGGAGGAGGCCCCGGGGCAGACACAGGACACACTGGAGAGATTATATCTCTCAGCTGGCCTGGGAACGCATCGGTATTCCCGTGGATAAGCTGGAGGAGGTGGCTGAGCAGAGGGAGGTCTGGGCATGCTTGCTTAGGCTGCTGCCTCCACGATCCAGCCCAAGATAAGCCAAACAAAATGCATGGATGGATTTTTATTTTATTGTAGTTAGTTTTCTGCTTAAAAGAACATTTTCACTGGTGGAATATGAACCACGGTCCACTGTGCTCTTTATTCATTTCACAAGTCTGACAGGGAATCTGAGAATGTGTCACCCTGCAGCACAAAACTGGCTTGACCTCAATCACGAAGCCCTGATAATGTTTTTCGCCTGCTGTCTCGGGGTAGAATTTTCATGCATTTTGTATGATACATTTTCCCTTTCATATGCATCTGATGGCTTTATAAAAAAGATGCATGATGCGAGTTTTATTCTGGACATAAAACCAGATTTATGCTTTTGTAAAATTAGGTGACTCTGAACTTTTTTTTAAACAATGTTCTCTTATTTTCTTTCTGCAGATGTTTCCACATTTTTGAACCCATAACAGACAAATAACACAAAGCAAAGAGCTACTTTGGTGTGCTGTAGTCTTTTCACAGTCTGGGTTTTCTGAAGTCTGAAATATGCACAACATCAGACAAACACACGTCTTTATAAGGAAACCTGAAACAAAGAGCCATCATTCCTGCACGACTGTCATTCAAATCAAATCACTATTTAGGTTTCTGCACAAGAACACTTGGGCCTGAGCGCAGTAATGTTGTGGGAGGGGTTCGTCCTGTTAAGGCTCCGTTCAGGACTGAAAGAGTCATGAATCTGAAAATATGATGAGGTCACAGCATGATTAAACCTCAAAGAGCTTCAGCTGACTGGTGCGGCAGTGAGTGGCTGTAGGTGTCCTTTGGTGTGTGGACGGCACAGCTGGCATATCCTGACATAATGACTATCAGCACACATGCAGCTGGCTGGACGTTGTGCGCATTTAGTGTGATGGAAAAAATGAAACTCGAGTTGTTTTGTTTATTATCTTACAAACTTTCATTCATTGAGACGGTTATTGTGATTTCGCGCGATATAAATAAAAGTGATTGAATTTAATAAAGTGAGTTATTCAGTATTTTGCCGGATGCACGCACAGAAATCAGACACACGTCCGAGACCACTTAACCAATAAGCTTTCCTCATCTGCCCACGCTTCAGTAACCACGCGGCCTTCAGGTGTGATGAGTGTGTGTGCAGGTACTCACTCATTCTCGAGCAGGGTCATGCACACCACCTCCCTGACCCCCGGGTTGTTAGCCTTGTCGCACGAGCAGCCCTGCAGGCTCCAGGTGGCCACGCGCACTACGGACTTCCCGTCCCGGAGCCCCAGCGGGCGATCCACCTTCGGCCGCACAGAGACGATCTGGGTCGGACCTCCAGGTGGGAGGTCCAAGTCGTCGCTGCCCAGACTAAAGGAAGAGGGGCTTGGGTGACACTTGGTGGTGCCGGGGAGCCCTGCGTTCGTGTTGGTGGAGGGTGCCCGGGAGCGCTCCACGAAAACTTGGAACCGGATTTTGTCGAGCAGCGAGCTGTTGATGTGCTTCACCTTTACCAGGTCCTCGATGCTTTTAAATGGGCCGTGCTCCGCGCGATACGAAACCACGTTCTTTGCAATCCTTTCCGTGATACCACGAATGCTCATGAGCTGCGCCGGGGTGGCGGTGTTGATGTTCATCCCGGTGTAGAACTGAGAGTCCAAGTCTTTGCGCAGTGACGACGGAGAGTGTTGGGAAGAACTGGTCCTGCTAGAAACGCAGATTTCCAGTTTGATCACCTCCAGCTTGGTGGCCCCGACCCCGCTTACCAGCGCCAGGTCCTCCACCTTTTTAAAGCCACCGATACAGTCCCGGTACTGCACGATATTCCGCGCAACTGTGCGATTAACTCCCGGCAGAGTCATGAGCTCCTCCTCGGTGGCGATGTTAATGTTCAGCCGCTCTTGATTCACCAAAATGTGGCTGAAATTGCAGGCGGCGCTGAATTTGCGCTTGCCGCAGCTGAAATCAGTGGGGTCTTTGGGGATGGAGCGGTGGCAACCCAGACTCCCACCCATGGCTAGGATCGGTGCAGTGGACAGGCAGAGGCCCGCGCCAGAGAGTACGTTCTGAAACACGGCGGTTACACGGCAGCATTCATTAAAGATAATATTGGACATACGCACCACCCGAGCCTGCGCTCAGCCCTGGTTCATGCCGCACACAGCAGTCCTCCGAGTCACAAGCGGCAGATCAGAGCAGGTCAAACTTTGCCCTATGGTATTGCGCAGTGTGACCGCCCACGGGTCAGCCTCCACCTCACTCGCCTTTGATCACATCAATACAAATCGTTGCTGGAGAAGTCTGTCAAGCGCCCAGCTCCACACCGCCGCACACCGGAGTACTTGTCAGACTTCAAAATAAAAGCAAGCCACCAGCGTCACTGGTTCAAATCAATCATCAGCTCCAAAGACAAGTGAACACATAAATACACAGTGTAGGAATAACCAACAGATACATTAACGCGGCTTAATAATGATTTTCTTTCACATTTAACAATTAATATTTTGTGAGATTTTGTCTAATCAGGATTTGGCCCGATGAAATAAAACTATTTACTTGTAGTTTTACTTTTACACTGTGTAACGTCAATCGTTTCTTAAAACAACAACAAAAAAAAAAACATAGGAATAGCTCAGCCATGTTATCATAACACTCATTACATTTAGAAATATTGTTTTGTAGTTTGAAGCCGGGAGGTTTTACCTGGCGTTTGGCGTTTATTTTGAAATGTCTGGTTTGTTGTTTCAACCGTTAACAGTAGGGGGCGTGTCTTTCTATGTGATATCTAAATGTTTTCTGTCACTGAGGAAGAGGATCTGATAATATACATACATGTAAATTGTTTTAAGGGCTGCAGCCAAACGTAGATTTGGTTTTATTTAGGATTAATCATTTATTTTTCACCGTCGAGCTTTTCTGAACACAGTACAGAAATGTTGCTGTTGCAGCTCAGTGCAGGATTTTTCTTGACTTCATAATTGTATTATTTTTAAGTTATTCCAAAGCGAAATGAATATTAAATACTGTTTTACACAAAAAGATTCTGAGAGGTGTGATATGAAGTTTTCAAGATCATTTGTGTTACAATATTACAATTATAACCTCCTGAGCTAACCTATGCTGGATACATTCAAGCTGTTTGTCACATACACATCTCCAGAGTGCTCCACTCATGGTTTTCTCTCTCTCTTGTTCTCCTTAGAAAAACGATGTAACCTCCAAAGTGTGACCAAATCACTAGTTTTTGCAGTTATTGGTGAGGCAGTTACAGTGCAACACCCCTCTGTGTGTAGGACTTAATAATCGTCATAATAATAGTAATGGTAGGATTCTGTAGTGTGTGTTATGCTTGGCTAAAATCTTTATTATTCTAGTCGAGTTGTGGCATGTATTGGCTCCAGCGCTGCACAGAGATCCTTGTACCAGATCAATCAGCTCAGCGGTGAAACAACAGTTATTATATTTTCTGGCTACTTGTTAAACCATTTTTTAGTTAGTAAAAATATTCTCACCAAAATATCCCCCAAAGCTGTCCCCATTCAAGTGATTGAATGGACTCGGTCCGACTTCTGAACTAACAGAGTGGGAAAAGAAGATGAACATTTGTCGTCTTCATAATTATTGTCAGTGTTTCTTCACTTTTCTACTTGTGCAGCTTTCCATTTGCCTCTTCTCCAGCACAGCGCTCTTGTCAGGTCATCCTGCTCAAACACACGAGGCATTATTAGGTGATGGAGACCTGCTGTGCTGGTCAGCCTCCCCTGACACCACACGCTGAACTTCCTTCTCCACCCCTCCCCTGCAGCTGAGCTGCAAACCACACCCCATCGCAGAGGGGATGCCACAGGAATGCCACTTTAGTGCCCAGTGTTTTTTCATCAATGACTTTTGGAAGCTCTTTTTCATCTTGTGCCTAGGACTCACATTTATTCGCTTAATCCCTCTGATATGACATTTGCTCCTGATGTTATGAGACATTTACCTGACAGTTCATGAGCCCTAAATTATAGTTTGTTTCACAAATTTAAAAAACCTTAGAGTCGACAGGACACAGCAGCGTACATTCATGATTAAGTGGATTCTACAACATAACAGTGAGAAGTAAACATTTGTGTCGTAGGCCTTCTATTAAAAACTATCAGCACTTCTCACAGCAGCATTACTGTACATTAATATAAAGTGTATTAAAAACAAGATATTAATTCAAATGTATAAAAACCTCTTGTAAATAAGCTGATTTGAATTCATTCAAACACAATTATAACATGTTTGGTGTTTGGATCTGAGGTCGAGCACAGAGCGCTTCTGTCACGACTGACTGTATGTTTGCCAAAATCTGGGGTCGTCCTGTGTCCAAACTGACTGTATGGTCAGTTTACTGGGAGACGACCTCCCGTCTGCCAGCCACAGGAACACACAGACAGACAGAGATCATTACTACAGAGAATCTTTCCCTTGGATTATACAGTGGAGCAAAAAAGGATTTAGTCAGCCACCGATTGTGCAAGTTCCCCCACCTAAAATGATGACAGAGGTCAGTAATTTGCACCAGAGGTACACTTCAACTGTGAGAGACAGAATGTGAAAAAAAAATCCATGAATCCACATGGTAGGATTTGTAAAGAATTTATTGGTAAATCAGGGTGGAAAATAAGTATTTGGTCAATAACAAAAATACAACTCAATACTTTGTAACATAACCTTTGTTGGCAATAACAGAGGTCAAACGTTTACTATAGGTCTTTACCAGGTTTGCACACACAGTAGCTGGTATTTTGGCCCATTCCTCCATGCAGATCTTCTCGAGAGCAGTGATGTTTTGGGGCTGTCGCCGAGCAACACGGACTTTCAACTCCCGCCACAGATTTTCTATGGGGTTGAGGTCTGGAGACTGGCTAGGCCACTCCAGGACTTTCAAATGCTTCTTACGGAGCCACTCCTTTGTTGCCCGGGCGGTGTGTTTTGGATCATTGTCATGTTGGAAGACCCAGCCTCGTTTCATCTTCAAAGTTCTCACTGATGGAAGGAGGTTTTGGCTCAAAATCTCACGATACATGGCCCCATTCATTCTGTCCTTAACACGGATCAGTCGTCCTGTCCCCTTGGCAGAAAAACAGCCCCATAGCATGATGTATCCACCCCCATGCTTCACAGTAGGTATGGTGTTCTTGGGATGCAACTCAGTATTCTTCTTCCTCCAAACACGACGAGTTGAGTTTATACCAAAAAGTTCTACTTTGGTTTCATCTGACCACATGACATTCTCCCAATCCTCTGCTGTATCATCCATGTGCTCTCTGGCAAACTTCAGACGGGCCTGGACATGCACTGGCTTCAGCAGCGGAACACGTCTGGCACTGCGGGATTTGATTCCCTGCCGTTGTAGTGTGTTACTGATGGTGACCTTTGTTACTTTGGTCCCAGCTCTCTGCAGGTCATTCACCAGGTCCCCCCGTGTGGTTCTGGGATCTTTGCTCACCGTTCTCATGATCATTTTGACCCCACGGGATGAGATCTTGCGTGGAGCCCCAGATCGAGGGAGATTATCAGTGGTCTTGTATGTCTTCCATTTTCTGATGATTGCTCCCACAGTTGATTTTTTCACACCAAGCTGCTTGCCTATTGTAGATTCACTCTTCCCAGTCTGGTGCAGGTCTACAATACTTTTCCTGGTGTCCTTCGAAAGCTCTTTGGTCTTGGCCATGGCGGAGTTTGGAGTCTGACTGTTTGAGGCTGTGGACAGGTGTCTTTTATACAGATGATGAGTTCAAACAGGTGCCATTCATACAGGTAACGAGTGGGGGACAGAAAAGCTTCTTACAGAAGACGTTACAGGTCTGTGAGAGCCAGAGATTTTCCTTGTTTGAGGTGACCAAATACTTATTTTCCACCCTGATTTACCAATAAATTCTTTACAAATCCTACCATGTGGATTCATGGATTTTTTTTTCACATTCTGTCTCTCACAGTTGAAGTGTACCTCTGGTGCAAATTACTGACCTCTGTCATCATTTTAAGTGGGGGAACTTGCACAATCGGTGGCTGACTAAATACTTTTTGCCCCACTGTATATGAAGGTCAAATAAAATTCCTCACAGTTGTTTTAAATATGATTTGCCAATGCCACGATACCGCTCTTGTTCAAACTGTTTATTCACTAAATAAACAGAACAAAAATAGTTTAAAGAATTTTTTTCAAATAAAGAGGATTTCATTATCTGCAGTTTATAATGCAGGTTAAATAAAAGAGGTGCTACATCGAAAACAAATCAGTATGTCCAGAAATTATGGATACAGATCCCAAAAAGTTGATTCTGTTCATCTGGTCGTAGCGTTTTCAGTGGGAGAAACATACCTTAAGTGATCCTTTGGTTATGAATTTTCAAACAAAGTATAGCCGACTAAAGCATCTCTATCCTGAGACCAGCTGGAACTCAGATAGGTTTTAATCTGAAAACTCGCAGCACCTCCAACAGTAGCAAATGAGTCAAGTCTGTTGTCTCTAAACATCCAAACATCCATAAAATATTCAGTTTTATTAACAAGGAAATAAACAAACCAAAAGCAGGAGCCGCTCACTGACCTAACAGCGCTGCCACGCTCACACAGGGAGGGGTAGCTGAGAAATGACATTTTCATAAACGTGCATCTCACAAATGTCATGGTCGCCTTTTCCCACAGACACAGACCGACTGTTAAACCTGTGAAAGCTGATTTAAGGAAAGATTCCTTCTGCTTTACCCTCCAAGATAAACAGTTAATTTTGCTATTTGGCTGCAGTCTAAAAGCAAAGCAAGACCTAAGTCACACATCATAACACAATGAAAACAGCAAAGCACACGAGTCTGTTATTATCCATCGTCCTAAGTAAACGTACATGAGCCCAAAGACGACTGCTAAAATAATTCAGCCATAATGACTTTTCACACATGATCATCAGAATTAAGAGTTTAACGAAGTCCTTTTAAAGGTGACATTGAGCTCAGTGCTTCACTGTTGCCTTTAAACATTTACATCCACACATGTGGGGGACAAAAAAGAAGATTTTTTATTTAACACAAAAAGGGGTAAAACACACAAAACCTAACTGAAGCTAGCATAATGAAGTCCACAGAGTCCAGCTTTTCTTTGAATAAGTCAGTAAGAAAGACAAACTCAAGGCTACATACAGTCGATAAATCACTCAAATGTCTCTTTGGAAAACTGTCGTGTGACTCCATCTGGACAGAGATTGATTAACACTATTTTAGGTCTGATCAGTAAATTGGCTCGTTTTAAAAGAAGTTTGTTTCTTCATTGAACGTAATGCTGGGCTCAGATCT